TTTCGGCTTCAAGTGTCTTTTATAGGGCGTGCAAGTTTCAAGTTCGTGTCTGCTCTAATTTGGAAGTTAGGAATTTTTGAAACAAAGGGTGCATTCGAGAGGAAACTTTCATTTTTAGCTCAACTTTACCCAAGTCGGTAAAAATCAGAAAAGCGGTCAATTTCAATGAAATTTTCAGTACTTTCGGCTTCAAGTGTCTTTTATAGAGTGTGCAAGTTTCAAGTTGGTGTCTGCTCTAATTTGGAAGTTAGGAATTTTTGAAACAAAGGGGGCATTTGAGAGGAATTATTTTGTTTCAAACAACTCTGGAGTTTCCCAATTAAAATGAAGCCTAATTCCTAATTCAAATGAAATAAATTTGATTCATGTTTGCTTATGCGGCTTTTACTGGTTTACCGGATATTTTTCCATCCCAAGAGAAAATAACAGGCGCGTCGAATATTCCAAATTTAAACCAAACACACACTTTTCTGTGCAAACTAGATTCGCTGCGAACATCAAACGGGCTCAACTAGGGTGAAATTAGCCGATAAATACATTTCCAGGATTTTCTTCTGTGCTTTGGAACGTTTGGTCTGTTCAACGGGAAACTTTTCATAAGGCGATATCGGTTTTCAGATCAAAGCGCGTTATTCTTTTTTTGAATAGTGGATGCATGCGATTCTTCCTTTGCGTTCGCTTTGCAAAGTTCAGCTGCCTGAAAGTTGGCGCTTTCAACTGAACTTCGATTGGAATTATGTGCGCAATTTAAATTTTCGGGTTGATTTGCTGCGACAATGCAACAAGCAAATTATCCCTCCAAAGCGGTTATTGATTCGACTATTTTTCCGCTCAAATTGAGTTGAGAATTTTCGAAAGTTCCTAGATGTTCCTCTGGTGGAAACACGCATTTCTCATCCAATCTGTTGCCGAAGGATACATTCTCATTTCCAACGTGTCTATGTCTATTTCACATGGCACAATTCCCGGAAAAATGCCCTTTACAGGCAAATATTTCGCATCGGGTCGCACCATATTGCATAATAACCGGATACTTCCAAATGGAAAATGCCTGTTTTCCTGTATAAACCGCCAGCAGCAAGAATTCGTCTTATTCCTTCGACCAGACACTTAACAACTTTCCATCAGTGATCTGTTGAGCAGTTTTTTCTGGGAGATTGTTGCACAGTGCCAGTAAATTCAAATGATCGTTCAGCCAATGTGCATAAAACTAATGGAGAAAGCGTGTTCAATCGGACTTTTCCCAATGCTTCCATTTTTAGCAAACGATTTATTGTGATGAACATTCGTTTCAATCCAACCGCAATTTTAGATGATTTAATATTAAATTTTGGGCCATGGAAGACTGTGCTTTGTATAAATGTGATTCAAAGGTTTTTCAATTAGCACTAAATGCATTTTCCATGAGCTCGTTTGCACACATAGATTCATTAGCCGGTGTTTGCTCTTGAATTCAGTTTGTGATGTTCCAGAATTCCAGTCTCTTTTTTCCATTTTTCACTTTTTCGGATTTTCCTATTAATATTTTATGTTTTACAGTCGAGTTCTACCTCATTTAGAGTACGAGTGGTTTTTTTATTCACTTTCTTGTCGGTTTGTAGGTGAAATTTGTTCGTTACCAATTTTTTATTTGATGCAATTCCAATC